TCAATTATACAATGCCATAGAGTAGAAGTTTGATGTGTTTTTCAGAAAACAGAATTCACACATTTTGTGGGCGTTTGCTGGAATGATGGCATTAAAGGTAATATGTCCCATTTGCAGGCCCCCAAAAATGAAGAGATTAAACTCCATACTACTTTAGAACTTTCCTAAAAAAGGGGGCTTGAAAATGTCTTTAAGTGGGAAAATGTTGACTATTGGTTGTCAAATCAACTTAAGTGCTTCCAAGTCAGTAAGCAATAGTCTGATTTTCAGACCATTGTACCAAATGGTTGTACGTTTTGTGCTGCACAAAGATTCAATCAGGTTAATTTTGGCCATGAAAAGAAGTGGGTTATTGATGTTGACAAATGCTCATGTACCCTTTACAGCTCATTATCTAAATGTTATTACCAAAGAAGAAAAAGAGCAAGTCAGTCACTTAATAGTGTCTGACAGTGAAGTCTAGGTTTCCTTGCATAATTTGAATATTAGGACACTGCTAACGTTTAAATTTCATAGATAGGACATACATGACATATTCATAATTCCTGCAAAGTTCTACAGAATTTGATGTTGGCTGCAAAAGGAACATAGTATACCAAAAGACGTTAAAAGACGGGAGTTGCTGCTACCTTGTTTGGCGTTCAACATTAAAGGGATAGAGCAACATCGATCTGGCGCTGCTCAGTGACTGCCGGGCTCACGATCAATTAGGCAAAAAGAATTTCTATTTTGGGTTTAATAAAATTTGGAGTGGACTTTAAAAGATTATTATTATTATTATTATTATTATTACTGGTAGTAGTAGTATCTTTAAAGGGCATGGTAAATTCTGACTTTGAAAATGACTTTGGAAGAGAAAAACTATCCTGAAGTTATTCTGACTTGTGTGTGTGGGTGTGTGTGAGTTGTTTATAGTAAACAACTGAATTATTCACACCCTTGTAAATGTTATGTTTTTGGGGGTTTTGGGGTAGTAACTCAAGAATGGAAGGTGGACACGTTGGATTAGGGCCTTTGCTGAATAATTTTAGATGTAAGCTTCAATATGTCACATCTGCAAGAAACATAAATCAGGACAAATCAAATGTTCACATACTCTAAAAATTACAAAACTTGGTAAAGGTATAATTGAGTTGTTCATACATTCTTTCTTGATGTTATGTTACTTGTCTTTTATCGTAGTTTAAAGATGACCCAATTTACAAGCTGTGCTTGATGAATCCCCTTGTCTACTCTAACTCTGTAAATGTTAATGTTAATGCTTGAATCTATGTGAGAAAAATAAATAAACCTTGAACCTTTAAATTGGTTGATTCAGGATATTTATCATGGAGTAATTGTGTGGTGGACCATGTCTCAAATTTCAGATGAATGTCTCCTGACATTTATTTATTTTGTACTTACATATTTTATTTACTGGTATATGAGAACTGACCAGCAGCACTGGCTGAAGGTGTTAGTTTAAAAATAGAATAATACAATATATACAAATGGATGTTGATTGTCAGAATGTATAAAAGAAATGAAGTAAAAACAAAACGAAAAATACCAAAAGAAAATTCTTTGCATCAGTAAACCTAGACATGTGATATCTAAGAGATGTAAGGAAAGAGATATAAAAGTACAGATGGAGATAACTGATGGGAGAGGGAGAGAGAGAGAAAGAGAGAGAGAGAGAGAGAGAGAGAGGGAGGGAGAATGATGTACAGGGGAAAGATAAAAGGTGATGAAAAATAGAGCTAAGAGTAAGAAAGCGATTGACTGAAAGGCAAAGAGAGAACAAGAGACAGAGAAAGAGAAAAAGAGAAGAGAAAGAAAGTATAGAGAAATAGAAAACAAGAGAACAAGAAAGATAGAAAGAGAAAGAGAGAAAGAGAGAAAAAGAGAAAGGACTAGAAATAGAGCAAGAGAAAGAAAGAAAGACAGAAAAGAAAAAGAGAAGAGAAGAAAAGAGAAATAAAGAAAGAGAAAAAGAGAAAGAGAGAAAGAGAAAGAGAGAAAAAAAAAGAGAAATAGAGAAAGAGGGTACGAGATGAAAGGTAGAAGGTAGACTGAGGTTGTGTAAGCAATATTCACATCTATAAATACATTTAAATGATAGAATTGTTTTTAGAAGAGGAAGTAAAAAATCTAAACAGCAGATTTTGATCTTTGTCAACATTAACAAATCTACTCTTTGAAAAAAACATGTTTGAACGTGACGGCATTCCACTAAATGTCAGAAAATTGAGCACAATATGTTTCCAAGTTACATTGATTGAGTGAAATGTCACAGACATTGTGTGAGAGAAGTCAGATGTACATGAGATAAAGAAATCTAGATTTGAAGCATTTGTGGTATGACAAATTATAATTCATCTGGTTCCTTGTACCGTGGTGTGTTAACACCCTCAAAGGGGGATCCGACATTTAAAAAAAAAAATTATGTTCTTTCAACATATTATATAAGGTGTAGTGATCACCAAATATAAATAGATCAAGTGATAGACTTTAAAAAAATCAACCTTAAAAACTTTTATTGCATAACCTGAATAGGATTTCAGTTCATGTTTGCTAGCAGACATACATTTAATAGCAGACCTTGAGAGTGTTTCACAGAGACTGCAATCAACTTTAAGTTGGACTTACTATGGCAGGCCGTTCATGCCACTGTTTGCTCTCACTGGTATTTTTCTCTCAAGGGACGTTTAAATCATGGTCACAAATCTACAGAATTTGTATATTTTGATAATTCATTATTGAAAGAAAAAATATTATCTAAAGATCCTAATGGTGAGGGCAAATCAGCGGCATGAACAGCCTGTCATAGTTAAGTCAAACTTAAGTCGACCTTAGTCTTTGTGAAACACTGGAATATAAAGAAAATAAGAAATAACATTAGACCTTGCACAGGAACCCAAGTCGGACTTGGCTTCTGCGCAGGCCCTATTCCACTGGAGTGAGTGTGAATGGGACGGTGTGGCCACTAGTCCACTCATATTATTTAAGTCGCTTTTATACTCATTCAGAATGTTTTTAACCCTGCAATTACCATCCATCAAAGTTACTTTTAAAGTTATTCTAACATTCAGGGGGTTTACATTTTTTAAAGATATAAGCTTCTCAGTATCACCCCTCTACACTTTCCCGTAACTCTTGTTCTCGATCTATTCATTCAAATAGTCTCAAAACTGGTAAAAGGGTCAGAACGTTGTATCACTTTAAGTCATAGTTCTATATTGATGATGGTTTGCTTTAACCTGGATACTAGTAAAGCAAAAGTAACGGGACCGTCAGCTTGAAGCCCTCTCCTAGGGACTTGGTCATGAGGATGATAATAATAATATTTAATTTGTATATAGCGCTTAATACAAATGTCTCTAAGCGCTTGCCACTAGCGCACAACTCGATTTAGAACCCAGGACCTCCCGGTTATGAGACCACTGCTCTACCATTGAGCCATCACGCCTCCCCCTTTTTAAAAAAAGCAATCGAAGCTCTACACAGCATCAACCCTTGACCCTTGACCTATGACCCGACCCTCTCCCTTGCCTCCCACAGATCCTAAGCATAACTCTACTTGAACTTGTTATTCAAATTCCATTCCCGAAGCTCAAACCACGGCTCAGCGCCCAGCGACAGAACACAAAAGCAAACTGTACACAAGTTCATCGTCTCCTGGTCAAGCGAAGCCAATCATTATCCCAAAACCCTCAATTTGATGTTTTTGTCTGTGGTTTTTTCTCCCTCAAAAAACCCAAATTCTGTGGATTTAGAGCACAATAGCTGACGTGAAGAGGAAGTCTCATTAGAGGTCACAGTCTGAATGTACATTGCAGTAGTTTTCCATAGAATTTTTAAAAAGCAATTTCACAAAAATATGGATGATAAAACACTCAACCCTACCGGTAAGTAATAAATTTATTTTAAATAATGAAGAATTAGATAGTTCTAAAGAAAATTAATTCCCTTATAATCAGAGAGTAGAGTAGGGTTTATAGCATTTTGAAATTTTGAAAAAGAAATAGCGTAGTGTTGCGAAATTTAATACAGGGACTAAAATCGACAACACAAGTTCGACAACACAAGTTATTAAACATTACAGCCTTAAATTCCATGCTTAAATATGATCCACCAAAGGCAAAACACTAAACATACAAACAACAACAACAAAATTACAGAAAGGGAATTATACGAAAATGTGTAACCAAATGCCTACAAGAACTAGATGGTCTCTGTATTAAGCCTATGGTAGGGCTACATACTAACTATTTTGGAAGAGGATCCGGATTGAAATTTTTACGGTCTGATCTGTATGCATGAACCCTATGTAAAACCTTAAATATTTTGGGTGTCTGGACTTAGATTGTGGGTGCCCATGTGTCCCAGGTGCTTGTCAGTGTTGAGCCTTGCTTGTGGGAAGTAGAAGATTCAGCAGTCAACAGGATAATATATGCAACATCCGATGAATTGATGATATGGAAAAAGGGTGAAGATGAATAGCCTTAGAAGAGGGGGTAGGGAGGGAAGGAGGAGGGGAGGAGGGGAGGGGGGATGGGGTAGTGAGAAAGAGAAAAAGAAATAGAGATAGAGAAAGAACATTATAAGAGAATAAAACATAAAAAGAAAGAGACATAAAGATAAATAGGGATGTAGAGAGAGAGAGAGAGAGAGAGAGAGAGATAAATATATGAAGCAGAGAAGAAGAGTCATATACAAGAGAGGGAGAGAGCGGGTGAAGGAGAAAAATGAGAGAAAGAGAGATATAGAAAGAGAGGGAAAGAGAGATAGAGAATAAGATAAAAAGAATGAGAAATATGTACATGTAGCTGGCTAGATAGAGATATCTAAATAGATGGAGATGGAGAGATGGAGAGAGAGAGAGAGAGAAGAAGATAGGAAGAGAGAGAGAGAGAGGGAGAGGATAAATAAAACAAACTGGAGGCTAAGATCCAGATTTACATTGATTAGTTTCATCCTTTATAACCCTTCATTAAAAACAAAATCATTCAAAATCATACCTCCATTTTCTTGACGAAGACAAGATGTTCCAGGTATCTGATGACGGCCCTGGGGTAGGCATGAAGATAGTCTATGATCACGTCTGGTCTCATTCTCTCACTCACTGGCTCATTCTCCGGTCTCTCAGTGAAAATCTGGAGAAAAAAGATTTAGAGTTTGTAAACATCATCATCATCATCATCACAATCATCAACATCATCATTATCATCATCATCACAATCATCAATATCATCATCATTAACAAATGTAGCGCAACCACCATCATCATCATCAACAAATGTAGCACCACAACCATCATCATCATCATCAACATCATCATCATCATCATCATCATCATCATCATCATCATCATCATCATCATCATCGTCATCATCAACTTTAACAAATGTTGCACAACCACCATCATCATCATCAACAAATGTAGCGCAACCACCATCGTCGTTATCACCACTACAGTCACCAATAACATCGTCACCGTCAACATCATCATCACCATCACCACCACCATCATCAATACCATGGTCGTCGTCAACATTATCATCATCACCACCACCATCACCACCACCAAACCACCAGCATCGCCACAAAAATATTTTGGTCTTTACCTTAGTAGCGTTCTCCGGTTCTTTTCTCATGGCCCAGTCTACATATCTCCACACCAGTTCATGATCGGATAAGCTACATTTAAAAGGAAGATGGAGGTCAGTTTCTATGTCATTGGAAATGTTTATTTCCATTGCATTCTTGTTCATTAATGTGAACCACATTTTCAAGTACAAGTACAGTCAAACCTGCTTTAGTGACCACCTGTCTACAAAGACCACCTGTCTACAAGGACCACATTTTTTGTTTCACTTGGAAATGGTTTCTTGTTGAAACATGTACTAAAGGAACTTGTCTACAAAGACCACCTGTCTACAAAGACCACTTTTGTGTTTCCCTTGGGCGGTCGCTGTGGACAGGTTTGACTGTACTTTCTTACAGGTCCAAATAAAGGTAGATTAAAGCTTAATGATACTACAAGTTATCATGGTTATCAATTCAATGAAGCATGATGGAAATAGGAGAAAATGCAAGTAAATAAGGCATTTTGGGGATACGATCTGCGCTTGGGCAGATACAGGAGATAAAAACCCATCAAGACGACTAATGGATACATGTGTACAAGCGTTCATGAAATTCGTGTAATCATTTTTCATTTATGCGCTGATGGTACATTCTATGATATACAGGTGGACATATTCTTTTCAAAGGGGCGAACAGAAGGTATTCATGAAGTGGCTCCATGATTTTGGCAGTAATCATTAAAAAATGACCCAACATGGGACCTCTCTATGTTGAAAAGATCTGTGGATATTTGGGGGTCATTTGTCCGTGTGCTTTCTCTGAAGTGGGATATCAAAGGATATTAGTCATTTTCCATGTGCAGGAGGTCATAATTGGCTGACACCAGACTTGGTGAAAATACGATTAATGGGTGTACGAGTCTAGCACACACACAGCAAACCCGTGGTCCCATCAAGAAATACCCCGGGTCTCTCAGAGAGTCTTCAGGTGATGGAAATGTAAAATAATGACTTTTCCATATAGGGCGATTGGTGGAAAACGCAGAGCCTCACATAAGGCCTGATGGTCATAAGACTGAAGGCTAATCCTGCTGATTGCCAACACCTGTTATTGGGTAAACACCTAAATGGTGCTAAAATTCCCCATAAGAGCCCACCATTATCGAATCTCGAAACCTAGTCCCTGGACAACCACCCCCCGGATAACCCCCGTCTAGGAAAACCACCCTCTAGGATAACTACCCCCTAGGACAACTACCCCTAGGATAACTACCCTTAGGATAACCACCCTCTAGGACAACTACCCCCTAGGACAACCACCTTTTGAATGACTACCCCCCCCCCCCCAGGACAACTGCGCCCGGTAGTCGTCCTAGTCATCCTATAGGGTAGTTGTCCTAGGGGGGTAGTTGTCCTAGAGGGTGATTGTCCTATAAAGTGGTTATCTGGAGGGTAGTTGTCCTATAGGGTAGTTGTCCTAGGGGGTAGTTGTCCTAGGGGGTGGTTATCCTAGGGGGTAGTTGTCCTAGGGGGTGGTTATCCTAGGGGGTAGTTGTCCTAGAGGGTGGTTGTCCAGGGGCTAGGTGTCCTAGAACCCACTATTATGTGTCTTTAAAGGTAAAGATCAGTTCTGGTCATGCGATTGCATTGCGAAAGTATTGGTGCGTGCTGAAAGGTTCTGGAATCATCAAAATGATAAGAAATTTGGCCCAGTCTAAAGTTACACGCACTGTACACAGAAAGATGTATATGGGACTACGCGACACGTGCGCGATATCTATTCGGTCCAAATAGATATAATAATTTACCAAATATATCAATTAGTAGGCGGTTTCCCGGCAAAATTTGTATCATCACGTATTAGTCAAAACATATTCTTTCACATGATTGGTAATAAGAGCTTCTATCTCATTTTTTGAGAGGGGGGCATTTCCAAAACTGGTCTTTACCTTTAAGATAAATAGAAAGGAATCCGATCTCACCTTGATAAGAAATCAATCACAAATCCTAATCCAGGGAAGGTTTCATCTGTAGCATCTCCATCCGCTAATCTGAAGGTATCATGACAACATAACATAAACATTGAATAAGTAAATAGAACATAAAAAATAAATAAAATAATATGGTTATTATATAGCGCCCTTTTCCATCAGGCTCTGATGCACAAGGCGCTTTACACATATTACCCTGGTTGTAGCCGAGCTGCCAAAGTAACTAGTGCTCAAGCACATCAGGTACCCATTTACACCTGGGTGGAGAGTGGCAAATGTAGATTAACGTCTTGCCAAAGGACATTAGTGCCGCAGCGGGACTTGAACCCCGTACCTTGTGGTCTGCAGTCTGGTGACTAATCCACAAGACCACAGCACCTCTACATGTGTATGTTACACTAGTCATTGGCAAAAACAAGAAGCATTTAACATTAATTGATGTAAACATTATTTTTGAAGCCACACTGTACTAGAAGCATCCCCTCTAGTGCCATCTCAGGTCGGCTGTAGCAGTATAGTCCCGTAACTCGCTGTAAGTAACTCTGTATGTTGACCATAAGATGCACGGGCAGGAAGTTCATCAATTCAGCATCGCTTTAAAGCTTATCTGTACTAGTTTATAGGAGGGATTAGACCGCCCTGCAACCAATTAGGCATTGTTTGTCATATAGAGGGAGCAAGTAGCTACAAGTAGGACAGTGTGGCTTTAAGTCGTAGAAAATGATGGATGCCTCCACCATGAAGCAATTTTACAAAGAAAAACAATAGCAATTTTCAAAATTCAAGTTTGATTGTAATCCGTTACAAGCTTTTACAAGCTATTTTGTCATAAACATGGTTGACCCTTTGATCTTCGACCTCATGACCCTAATATCGAATTGATTCATTGGCTCTGCAAGATACGTACATGTCTTGAGTTTGATAGTAAAATACGTAAAAGAAGCAGGGGTAATAGTGAGCACTAAAAAAAATAGGGTTTTTTCCCCTCAACCACGCCCCCCCCCCCCCCCCCCCCCCCCCCCCCCCCCTTGAGTAAAAAAAGAACAAGAGGATTCGCGGGGGGAAAATGGCATCTAACAAAATTCCCCCCCTTTTGGGTGAGAAAATTGGGAAAAATAGGGAAAAATTGAGAAGAATATAGAAAATAGGGATAAAATCGTGAAGAAGAAGAAAAAAAATCAGAGACAAAAAAAAGTCTGGAAAAAATCTGGGAAAAAAAAAAAAGAAAAACTGGAAAACCGATTTAAATTGGTTAATTATCAAGCCTGAAGAAGTCACCTTGCCCATAGGACCATGGCTTGCTCGCTATCACCCTGGTATCTGTGGAGGAGAGCCAGCGCATGGTGACGGCTGAATCCCTGCAGGTATTCACGGCTGTCTTCAGGGTCACAGGAGTGCTCGGTTGAGATGAGGGTGATCAGTTTGGTCGGGTTGGACTCGGCGTAGAGTTTCAGCAGGGCAGTATCAACCTCCTGGTATGAGAAGGAGGGGGGGGGGGGAAGAGGGGAAAGAGATTGAGGGGAGAGAGAGAGGGAGAGAGGATAGAGAGAGAAAGAGAAAGAGAGAAAGAGAGAGAGGGGGGGGTAGAGAGAGAGAGAGGGGAAAGAGAGGGAGAGGAAGAAAAAGAGAAAGTGGAGAGAGAAATAGGGGGAAGATATTAATAGGAGAGATAGAGAGAGAGAGAGAGAGAGAGAGAGGGAAGGGAAAAGGGGGAGAGAGAGAGGGGGGGGGGGGGGGGGAGAGGAAGACAAATTGGAGAGAGAGAGAGAGAGAGGGGGAGAGAGGATATAGGGAGAGAGAGGGGGATGAGAGGAAGAGAAAGAGAAAGAGAAAGAGAAAGGGGGAGAGGAGAGAGAGAGAGGGGAGAGGGGGGAGGGGGAAGAGAGGGAGGGATAGAGAAAGTGGAGAGAGAGAGGGGGTGGGAAAGAATAATAAGATGGTTAGGAAAAGCAGCAGCTATGCATGTATGACAAAGTTGTGAACAAAATTTGTAAATAAAACGCCAAAAATGAGATCATACCTTTATAATAATAATAATAATGGTGGCTTCTGATATCAGACACATGTTCGTCACGTTGTGACCCTCCTGGCGCTGCCCCTGGCTTTAGCAAGGCAGCCATTACGGCGCTCTAGCATTTCAAGGAATTAATTCCTGCCAGGTAGCCATTCACGGCACCTGGGTTGAATGTGGCAAGTGTAGATCAATGTCTTGCCAAAGGACATTAGTGCCGCAGTAGGACTTGAACCCCAGACCTTGTGATCTACAGTCCAGTGAGATATCCACTTGACCATGACACCTCTACCTTTATGCCTATTTAAAGAAGGAAATAATACATATAGAGAAGTCTACAGCATAAGAAAAAGAGCAGAGAACATGAGAGAGAGAGAGAATGAGAGAAAGAGAGACACAGAGAGAGACAGAGAGAAAGAGAGAGAGGGATGAACCTCAATAAAAAACACTGTCAAGAATACTTTACCAGTTTCATGCCGACTGCTAGGTCAGTATCCCTGACGTCTTCTAGGAAGTCCATCAGGAATTGCTTGCACTCCGCTACCTTGTCAGGCTTACCTCGGACAACCTGACTGATATCCGCAAAGTCGTGAAGCGGTGGGATGGCCCGATGGAAGTTGGAGTTGGAGGGCAGTAGGTTTGGATAAAGGCAGATCAACTGTTCCATAGAATAAGATTGATTGTATTTTAAACATATCACTTTATTGACAATACATGTACAGTGAAACCTGTCTATAAAGACCACCCAAGGGAGACAATAAAAGTGGTCTTTACAGACAGGTGGTCTTTATGTAGTTTCTTTAGGCTCCTTTATAACACATTACAATGAGAAACTATTTTCAAGGGGGAAAAAAAATGTGGTCTTTGTAGACAGGTGGCAGCTAAAGCAGATTTGATTGTACTTACATCACAAAGTAGACATAATAGTCTACAACAACCAAAAGTACTGATATACATGTATAAAATACATCTTGAACTAATATGAAAATCTTTCAAAGAAATGATTTTCCATATCAAATAGTGTTATATCTTTTATAGGTTTCACCAATTTTAAGAAACTTTAATTAGGACCATAAGAATTTTAGGGGCAAAATCAAGCAGATGGATCAAATGGAAAAGTAGATATTGTGGGGAAAGTTGAGAGGTCTCATATCAGTACATTCATGGAGTGGAGGGATGGCTCGCTGGAGTTAAAGCGCAGTACTGGGTGTGGATACGGGTGCATAAACTCTTCCATAAAATAAGGATCACAAACAAATGTTATAACATCGGAAAGGTGAAAAGAGTAAAGGAAAAAGGAAAAATTTCGGACAGGTTTAGGTCTGATGCCAGGAAAGTCAGAAGTTGGATGGTAGTACATGTACGTCAGGATACAGGCAGATAACCTTATTAGGTGACAAAAATTTTCTTCCATTTTAAGTTCAGTTGAGTTTTTTCAATTGATTTCAATTCAATGATCGTTATATCATCACATTTGGATAGTTCAAAAGCGCTAGTTTGCAATTTAAAACCACTTTTGGCACTCAAAACACCTATACAATTACAATAAATGGAAGTTACGGGAAATAACCGCTTATAGTATCAAGATTAAACACAAAACATAATACATCAAAGCAAATTTTTAACCTGCGCTTGTGTATCATGCTTCTGTAATGTCCTTTATTTTAACAATTTCCTTAATTACAGTTGTAAGACAATCTAACATGCACGTGATACAGCATTATAAATGAATACAATCATAAAAACGGTTTGGAGGAGGCAACGACTGGCTGTTCCCCTTTTCTTACCTCTCTCACATCAAGCTTAGCTTCCTTGAACAACTCCATGGAATCAGCAAAATTAAGCTGAGCGAACTGGATGAATCCTGCCTGCTGCTGTATGCGGTTATACATCTATAAGAAAATGAAACGTGTAGGTCAAAGGTTATGTAGAGTTTTGGTAGTGAACAAGAAATTTTGTATGAAATGTATTGAATCTTTATATCAGGGGTGATAGTGAGCACTAAAATATATTTTTTTTTTTTTCGCTCGACCACGCCCCCTTGACAGTAAAAAAAAAAAAAAAAAAAAGATTCGGGGGGAAAAAAAGGGCATCTAATGTATTCCTGCCTTTTTGAGTAAAAAAACGGGGAAAAAATAGGGAAGAATAGAGAAAATAAGGGAAAAATCAGGAAAATAGGGATAAGATTGGGAAGTAGAAAACAAATCGGGTAAAAAAAAAAAGAAAATTTAAAATCTGGAACCGATTTAAATCAGGTAATTATCAGGCCCGTTATATGCCACACCTTGCATTACATTGTTTTTATCTGTGTAATTATACCAAAATGAAACATTACTGAATGGTTCCAATGGTTTAAATACCCTAATTTAACGACAAAATAGAGTAATATTGGATTACCTGCAGAAACTTATCCTTCCCAAGTCCAGCTTTCCGGTAGTTTTTTGCAAGGTTCAATGCTTCTTCCACTCGTTTGTCAGCAAGTAACGCTTGGACCTGATGTGAAAACAGGAAAAAAGAAAAGACAACTAAAATAATGAATTTACTTTGAAGCCCCTCATTTAGATTTTTTTCTCCAATTTTTCTACAACAATTAGGACTACAGTTATTTTCGGTATGTAATACACAGAAGTTTTCGTGAAAAAAATTAAATTAAATTCAGATTATGACTACCATTAGAAATTGATTTACATTCTTTCCGTTGTTTACAGGTACATGTTTTATTTGAAAAATCCTCCTAACTATACCATTTCAATTTCAAAGCCAGCATGCTAAAAACGTACAGAGAATGCGCAGTTTGGGCCTAGGCGCTACTGATACTACAGAACTTATATTTGCCGAGCAAGCAAAGAGAGCTCATTAATGCTAATTTTAATCACTTGATTATTTTGAATGAAAATAACATTATTTCAATCACACTTTCAGAAAATCTGGTAAAAAATGGTCACGCTTGGCGAAATGTGTTTCTATACCTGTTTCTCTACTGGAAGAGGCACCAGTGCATACACCTCTTTATTGGAAGCAACAAACATCTTCCCCTCAAAGTCACCCAACAACTTCCCTCCTTGGAATGGAATGGTCTGCTTCTGCTGCTGGTCCAACACACTGGTGAGTGAGAGAGCAGGAAGTTGATAGGGTTATTCCATTTGACATGAGGGGTGAGGTAAAAAGATAGAAAGGGCCATTTTGAAAGTTCAGGCTGTGTTGACTTAATATTTCGATCAGTAAAATTGTGAGTATGTTGTCAACAGATGAGAACAAAGTTATTTACCAAAACAATAATCCTAATTTAAAGTAGGAAAGAAATAGAAACAAAAACTTGAAAATGAACATTTCAAAAGAAAGCGGAACAAGTATAAAAAAAAGGGCTAATTCAAGAAGATAAGAATTAAAAATTAGAAAGGAAACACCACTATTAAGAGGAAAAATCAAGAGAAATACAACACAGGGATAATTACAATAAAGTGACAGAAGAGAAGAACAAAATTATAATGATAATAATAATATTAAGAAGAAGAAGAAGAAGAAGAAGAAGAAGAAGAAGAAGAAGAAGAGGAAGAGGAAGAGGAAGAGGAAGACGAAGAAGAAGAAGAAGAAAGAGAAGAAGAAGAAGAAAGAGAAGAAGAAGAAAAGAAAGAAGAAGAAGAAGAAGAAGAAGAAGAAGAAGAAGAAGAAGAAGAAGAAGAAGAGGAAGAGGAAGAGGAAGAAGAAGAAGAAGAAGAAGAAGAAGAAGAAGAAGAAGAAGAAGAAACAAAAAGGAGAAAAAGAAAATTTGTTTACCTGTGAACTGTAAGAAACTCATCATCCAATGCTACCACATACGGGAATGTGTAACTGACAGCGCAGACTGACTCCGCCCACTTCAATGGTGGCCTCTGGGACATCCCTCCCGACGTTACAAACATACCAAGAGCACCGGCCCTGCTAGTAAAAACTCCTCCTATAGGAAGAAGGTAGGGAATGAAAGCAGACATGCACTCATCAACATGTTTTGCTAATGTTATTAAATCTAGTAAATGCAAAGAAAGACAAATACAAAAATATGCTCGGATGATACAATACACTAAATGCAACTTAAAACTCCTTCTACATGGACACGTGTGATAATGTGTAGAAAGCAATAAATAAAGAAAGGCTCGCATTTAAATCACAATCTAGGAAACATTACAAAAAACATGAGTATTTAGGAAAATACCAACAAACCCAATGTACAAGGCAATTTAATTTAAAAATTCACCTAAATGTAATATTGGTTTAAAACAAAATCTGATTGCGGGAGCTCTTTTAGGCTTTGGAGTTGTATAAGTGGGATTTACTCACCATGACATATAAGTATTTTTTATGATTATTATTTTTATTTTTTTACAAGACCTCCTCTTCAATTTAACAGAGATCTTTTAGTGCTTATCATAATTTAATTGCTCAGCACTATCCGATTTGCTTACAATATCCAACGCCACCCACACAAGACTTTTAAAATCGATTGACATAAGTCTGCTAGCTAGCCTTCTTACATTTACGATGAAGTACCTGACCAACAAAACTCATATAAAACACAAAGTTGTCTTCTTTAACAAGGCCTAAACTGAATAAAATAATCATATTTTTGACTGAAGTAAGCAAGAGAATTCAAGACCTAATTAACATATTTAAAACCTACCCTTCCGACTCTCTTGATGATTGGTGTGGTATGCTCCGTCTCCACGGGGAAGAGGTCAGTGATTTGACCTGTGTCATAGTTTGCCAGGATGTACTGGTTGCTAAGGGCAACACAGACACAGAATGAATCAATACCCTGTGGAAGAGAATATTGAAAGTTGCTGAGCCAAGAATTCATCAGGTTGGACCAAGTTAAACTTGGTTCAACATAGACAACGTAGTTGACTCTTGCTACCGCTACTACGGTATTAAGCCATAGAGGGCAGCACCAGCCAAGGGTATATTTGGTAAAGGCATTTTCCGGTGCCAATACAAATACAATGGGACAAGAACTTAACAACTTCTCTCAAAACTCTGATAGAAAATGATATTTTCGAAGCCAATAGAATACAATCAACAGATTATGATGGTACCTACACAGATCTCATCAAATTATCTGGGGAGTTCATGAAACCTGAACAATAGTTTAGTACAATAAGGAATTAGTTGACATTGCTGTAGATTCTCTATGGTAGCCGAAAAAAACCTTGTCTTTAATCATCTTCCCCAGTATCGTATCTGCGCATGTGCTAACCTGCGCCGTGTGGGAGGGAGGTCGCTATCTACTGTCAAACATCGTATTTGCGGTAGGGTCAATTGTTTGAGGGAGCTTATACAAGTAAGTTGCCGGACAATAGAAATAGATTAATACAACATTCTTTCCCCAACAAATCTGTATTAGTAGCATCATTGATATTCTTACAACTTTGTACCTAGGACCGACAACTTAGAATCAAATCACAATCCAAATTCGTAGAACAGATCTATGAATAAAAAGTACCACCTGTTGTTTTTAGATTTGAGATTGTCATGTAGAATATCAATTCAATTGTCATTTTAGTTTAAACAAAACAAATCAAGATATGATACAGAATGTAATTTGTTGATTACTATTTGAATATTTGTCAGTGCCAAGTCATCTACTCACCACATTGACGGGCATATCTGGTATTGATACATCTTTGACTAGAACCATCTTATCTTCTGTGACTGAGTAGACCTGCACCAAGCGTCTCTTTGTGGCTACGGCAATCTGAGTAATGATGAAGAGAGGAGAGAGAGAGCAAGAGAGAGAGAGAGAGAGGAGGAAGAGGGAGAAAGCAAGAGTCAGAGAAAGAGAGAGAGAGAGAGAGTTTACTTTGCTTTACATCCTGAAATGGACCAATTATCGTATACAGATTAAACATCAATTGCAACTTATTTGTGATTGATCAATTGCAACTATGTATATAAGAGAAAGGGGACTGCCAACTTGTGATTGAATCGCAACTAGGACAGAGAGGAAGAGAGAGAGAAACTTGCAAGGCCAAAAAAAAAATGCACCAGATGATGGAAGTTTTGCATTGAACTACACAATGGCTTTGCAAAATTACGCCATTTCCGACCCTGATTAGCAGAACAACATCCCTTTTAATGCCTGAATAGCATCTATCTAGAGATTATATACCGGTACTGAAAACAGTTCAATAATCTTGAAGTCTTTGGTATATCATCCCATGATATACTATGTGACCCAGGAAGAGATTTTGTGTTGCATATCAACAGGTAACAAAATGAGGCTTACCTCTACACTGAAAGGACTGCCACTCCGTGGGTTCTCATTTACACAGAATGATGTCACCTTGGAGAGAGAGAAAGGAAACAAAAAAAGAATATGAAAACATGATATTGGCATTAACGCGATAATGAACTGATTAACTTTCTACCCTAGCAGAATTCCCATTGCACAGCGCCATCTCATGGTCAATTTGCCAACAGTGCATAACTAAATACCTAATTTTCACTTCGCAGACAGAGAACTCAATGCAAGAGCCAACAACACAGCTAGGGAAGCAGCGTGTTACGGGACAGTACCCTAATGAAGTTTCTTCATTTGCAAGTTACCGTAATAGCATTTTAGTGTCTCCTTTTAGTGACGTTTTATTTCCATCTTATTAAACAGAATAACATATTATACAGAAGTAGAAAGTGCAACTACTTGTTGAAGTACATGGTGCAGGTCATTTAATTAAATTTGTACATGTATTTAATCAAAAAATAATCACCTAAGTCTCTAAACTGACACCGCAGAGTGAAACTTAGAATCTTTATTTTTTCGTCTACAAATAAGCCAATTTCTTCTTGGTTTTTTAATTTTGTTATTCACACTGTTTCATTCAGTGTACAACTGTATTTATTTTGTTATCATAAAAGATTGGAAAATACAAATAATTGTCGATAATTTGAGGAGGTTATAAGCTGACTCGTTTAGACCCTTAGAAAATTCTGTACTGATGTGGGTTAACCAGGGAAATGAAGGAAATAGAAAATGAAATACTCACCCCTTTAATCTTGGCTCCACTGAGTATAGGCTGGGCAAAAAGAAGAAGAGAAAAGAGAAAAAGATAATCATCCACTTCACAACTGTGAAATGTTTCATGTATGCAATTACGCAATCTTACTTCAAGATTTTATTTATCCCATCTCATATATTTTGTATGAAAATTCTTTTGAGAGAGATTATTAGTAAAGACAACTACATGTAAGAGACATATTAGACAAAGTAGAACTGGACTTTAATCCTCACGTTGGGTTAATTAGTAGAGAATAAAATGATTTGGAAATTGGAATTAAGAGAGAATAGAAGAGCACAATATGAAGTAAGGGGGAGGGATGTAGAAGTGAGAAGGATGGTTGCAGTAAACACCTGGAGGGTAAACATGTGTACCGGTAGTAGCATCAGTACAGTACCAGCATTAAGTCAATATGGGGGGGGGGGGGGGGGGGGGGGGGGGGGGAAGGGGCTGCGAGAGGGAAGGGTGGGAGAGGGAGTTGGGTAGTGAGAGGGGGGTAACACTATGAATATGACGGACAAAGAAAGCGGACAAATATACAGTTCCTCAGGTAGACAAAGGAACATCCCTTCACTGCTATTATTACACATTTTTACATAATAGCAGTGAAGGGATGTTTCTTTGTCTACCTGAGGAACTGTATATTTTGTCCGCTTTCTTTGTCAGTCATGTTCATAGTGTAAGGAGGGGGTTAGGGTGGGATATATATCTCTAGGGTGAACATGTGTGATACTTGTAACTCAAGAACGTTATCACACAGTACCAGTATTAAGTCAAGATTGGGGGTCAGGAGGTTAGGAAGGGGTCGGTACATACCTCTAGGTTGAACATGTGTAGCAGAGTCAGGACATTATCACACAGAACCAGTATCCTGGTTAGCGCTGAGGCTGCCTGTAATTGTTGGATTGGCTTTCTCTGTTACACATACAAAAAATGAAATAGAGTTTAAAGTGTGCATGTACCATTCACCTGAAGACAAAAAGTGTGTGCATAGAGAGGCTGTATAAACCAATCTCACAAAACTTAACATGGCATTCTTAACATTTAATCATTATTATCGTTGTTATTAATATTATCATTATTAGTAGTACAGTAGTACATGTAGTAGTAGTCCTAGTACTATTACTATATAGTAGTAGTAGTTGCAGTAGCATAATTATTATCATAATTTTTCATTATTATTATTGTTTCTGTTATTATTATCATTACTGTTATTATTATTGTTGGTGTTGTTGTTGATGGTGTTGGTGTTTTTGTTGTTGTTATCATTATTATTATTATTGGTTCATGGAAAATAAAGAGTTAAATAGGCATGGGAATAGAAAGACAGGAGTTGCTGCTACCTTGTATGGCGTTCAACAATAAGGGATCAATTGGGCAAAAAGAATTTCCATTTTCAGTTTAACTTAAGATAAACTTGAGTTCTGGTAAAAAAAGAAAATGAATTCTCACAGAATCTAACGAAACTTACACTGAATGTTCAAGATTACAAATAAATGTCATGTGCCAAACAATTTTGGAAGAAAATGTACTGTATATTGGCTGAGTAATGAGCAAAGAAAGATAAGGAAATCAGGGTAGTACTAGTCCCGACACCATGTGTGTTGTTCCATATACATCTTTCTGTGTAAGTGATTGTTACTTTACCAAGACTCTGCCAAATTTATGATGATTTTGGTGACTCCAGAACCATGCATTACACACCATTACTTACATGCTATATGATAAACTTTTCTGATCCATTCCACACCTTTTCTTTCACAATGCAATCGCATTACCAGAACTCAAGTTTATCTTTAATACAATTTGGAGTGGACATTAAAAAATTATTATTATTGTTATTATTATTATTATTACGATATATAACAAGAGCAAAATATTGTTGACTTACCACAGCCAAGTATTTATGGGACTGTTTCTCAGAGACAAACGTGATCTTTCCATTGGGTTGCATCTTTTCTTCGATCAAGTAATGGATCACAAAGCTAAAGAATATTGAGAAAAAGGAGAAGAAAAATATAATACAAAATGAATTTCATTTCATTTAATCTATTTACTGTTCTTACGTATATTTGACTTGATTTGGCATGGTGGCTCAGTTGTAAGAGCGCCCGCCTCATGAACGGGAGGTCGTGGGTTCGAACCCTGGCTGAGTCATATAACAATGGGACCTTCTGCCTTCTAGCTAGGCGCTCAGCATATTAGATTGGAGAAGGATAGTAATAACATATTATTTTATGCAGGGCCCGCTGGAAGAGCAGTTTCATAACTGAAGTGGCTACCCTGGGTAAATAAAACGTTAATATTATTATTATATTATATTATATTGGATATTTTTTTCACATACAAATAAAATGTTCAGATATAGTTTACCAAAACAGGAAATAAGATCATAAAACAAAAAAGAATGATGATGACCTATTTGGGGGTAAAGCATCACATGCTCTTTCAAGATACCTTGGTTTTATGATAGCAATAATTAATTTTACATGCACACTTTCAACCATAAATACCTCCCCAATCTCACTGTCCTAGTTGTAGCTACTTGCTCCCTCTATATAGAAAACAATGCCTAATCGGTGACTATTGGTCCCCCATGATCCTCTTTTTCTTATGTTAATTGAGAGCTGAGTTGATGAGATAGCCACCTGTCCAGTGACCTTGCAGGGTGGTCTAATCCCTTCTGGCCAGACTAGGCTTTAAAGCACGATCAGATATGACGCAGCAAAACCATGGTATTAAAAAAAAAAATAATGACGTAAAGTGTGATGGGCGTCACAATTCTGTATCTTATAACACATAGCTCAGCGAATACCTGCAATATCTTTGTTGCGTTCAGTTGCCATTCATAATACACATTTTAAAAAACGCACCATATCTGATCAAGCCTTCATATAGACGCACCTCAGGCACAGCAAAGCCCACTCCAAATTGACCGATTATTTTCCATCAGGGCTAAAATAATGTTTTGTGTGGTTAGACAATGGCAACCTAAATACAAATTTTAACCATAACCATATCTCTATAGTGAAAAACAAAGCCAAGAGCTTATAAACACCTAAAAAAAAGTTCTACAAAATGTTAATAGCATTGATACAATTTATCTCTCTTGTTAATATATAAATATTTATATATTCTAACACGAGAAATCTTGAAGCTCAAACTTCTTTTATGAAACAAAGTTGAGAGCCTATCAACACCGAAAAAAGTTCTACAAAATGTTAATAGCATTGATACAATGTATCTCTCTTGTTATATATTTATATATTCTAACACAAGAAATCTCGAAGCTCAAACTTGAATTGCAGAACTATTTTTAAGGAATTTAAGTCAAATCTTCATGATCTTACCAATCACTTGTCCCAATGTAGAGGTTCTTCCCACAGCATTCTATACATTCAATCTAGAATTAGGATATAGTAAAGGAGGAAGGTTTATTATTATCATTATTATATATTTGACCAATCAGACAACCTACAATGAGTATAACAATCAGATACGTAGAAATTGTATAATACATGCAAACAGCTTTAGGAAAGTGGAGAGGAGAGAGAGAAGGATACAATCTGCTGGTCAGAGGTGACAAAAGCAATTGAAATTGCTATCACTCGAAAACATGTTACCCCCTCCTCCTCCTCCTCCTCCTCCTCCTCCTCCTCCTTCTTCTTCTTCTTCTTCTTCTTCTTCTTCTTCCTCCTCTTCCTCTTCCTCTTCTTCTTCTTCTTCTTCTTCCTCCTCTTCCTCTTCCTCTTCTTAGCTTTCATTTGTGGACTAACGTACAATGTAGGCAACCAATTATGTAAATTATTAATTTTAATATTCTAAGTGGTATATTCTTCAATAGTGGCCTCTCCAGCCCTCTGTAAACAGAGGCAACTAAAAATAATAGAGAACAAAAGGAAACAAAATAAAAGCAAAAGGAAGGGGAAAAGGGATTTTCTATAACTAGTCTAGACCTAAGTAATTATTTTAGGGGTTGCTGAACTTACTGAAGTTTTGCTGGTCCTCTCCCCAAGAAGCTTCAACCTTTCTACAGCAGGAACCAGTTCAAATGCTTTCACACTCATCCTGATATTTCAGTAAATAATGTAGGGGTAATTTTCTGAAAATAAAAGTTAAAATAAAGTTCTAACCATTCATGATTCTGAAGTTGTCAGAGGTTGAATTGAACTGAAAAGACAAAACTGTTTGCATATTATTCAAATTGTTAAAAATTGTTCAATTTCAAGATAGACTTCAAATGATCATAGAGTTCACACATAAAACGGCAGAAATATCCAACCAGTATCTTTTCTCTCTCACGTATATTTCTATCCCAACGCCAAGTCGACAACGTCCCAATGCAATGCATAACAATTAACATAATCAACAAATTAGAATCTCATAGTCATACGCCCACTCTTAAATGCGACGCAAAATCAGACACATGGGACCGAAGACAACATTTAGAAGTCGAATTACCAGCATCAGATATCCAATATAATCTCTATGGGAGCATGCACTGATAAGAAATAACATTTAAAGAATAACGTATTCTAGGAAAATGAAAATTACCTCGTCTGTAGCCTGTTCAGGGGTCACACCCACAGCAAAATCCGAAAATTATTAAAGAACTGGGCTGCCAGAAAAATATATTTATTTACTCTTGGCGCTGGAGAGGGCGACAAACAAGATAAACATTCATTCGACCTATAGTCCGCTCAATCATTGTGCGGCCTATATGCAATGTCACAATTATCACATTTACAATGTATCTCTACGTGTACGTTTTGTTTCAGCGCCGATTTCGGCCATGCCCTGTTCATCCAATGTAGTTTACATTTATTTCAATTACCCACGAAGAAGAAATTACATACATGTAATTATACCAAGGTCATGAAGCACTTCCATCATGTCCTTTACTTGACTTGACTTGTAGCTGTCGAACCAAAGAGATTATGGTATCTCTTGAGCCTATATAGCAGGGGCGTAAATCCCGGGGGGGGGGGGGGGGGGCTGCATCCCCCTGGCTTGAAGTAGGCTAGGGGGGGATGGCCTGTACAATCACCCCCCCCCCTGATATTACAAAAAAAAAGAGAGAAAAAAAAGAAGAAGAAGAAGAAGAAGAAAAAAATGTGATTGTTTCAATTAATTAGCATATGAGAAATGAGTTATTTTTTTATGTATGTAAAACTGTAAAGCCTACACGTATACAGTATGTCACGATCATTAAGAGTAGTTGCGCGACGTGCGCGAACAAGCACTTCATAAACTTCAGAATAATTTTTCGTTATTTTGCAAGGTATTTTATAGCCCAGACGTAAAGCGCGCCAGCGCGCGAGCGCTTAAAAAGTGCCTTCATGTACAGTAGATGCCCGGCTCCCCCCACTTAGTGTTATTTAGGGTACGCGTACGCTCGTTCCCTCCCTTGGAAGCACCCCCCCCCCCCCCCCCCACCCTATCTCAGGACTGCCAACATTTCTGAATCCCCCTTTTGCCGGCTTTTCGCTGGCTTTTCCTACCTTGGAGACCCCCCCCCCAAAAAAAAAAAAAATAAATAAAATAAATAAATTAAAAAAAATATAAAAAAATCCGGAACACTGCTAAATGTACCACCCCCCCCCCCCCCCCAATTTCAGGTGAGCTCTAGTCGATCAAGGGGGACTGGGGGCCAATGCTTTTACTTTTCAAAATGAAATAATCCTGAATGAGCTTTTAAAGCTAGCAGGAATTTCAGGAATTTGATCCCGGGATTTGATCAATTTTTCTATGATATTCAAGATATTTTAATACCTTCTTTTTACATTTCTCAGAAGACCAAAGAGAGGGAGAAAAAAACCAACCCCCTTTTAAAGAAATTAAGAGTCGAGAATGGTACAACGAATCGTCTTCTTTCTCTAATGATTTAATGAAACGTAAAAGCTTCCGCGCTTCGCGCGGGAGGGAGGGGGGGGGGGGGGTGGGAAGGGAAAACTGAATTCAGATGAGGATTAAAAGTCGAGAACGGTACAACGAATCGTCTTCTTTCTCTAATGATTTAATGAAACGTAATAGCTTCCGCGCTTCGCGCGGGAGGAAGGGGGGGGGGGGAGGGAGGGAAAAAACTGAATTCAGTTGAGGATTAAAAGTCGAGAACGGTACAACGAATCGTCTTCTTTCTCTAATGATTTAATGAAACGTAAAAGCTTCCGCGCTTCGCTCGGGAGGGGAGGGGGAACTGAATTCAGACGAGGATTAAGAGTCGAGAACGGAACAACGAATCGTCTTCTTTCTCAAATGATTTCATGAAACGTAAAAGCTTCCGCGCTCCGCGCGGGAGGAGGGGGGGGGGGGGGAAGGGAAAAACTGAATTCAGACGAGGATTAAGAGTCGAGAACGGAACAACGAATCGTCTTCTTTCTCTAATGATTTTCATGAAACGTAATAGCTTCCGCGCTTCGCGCGGGAGGAAGGGGGGGGGGGGGGGGAGGGAGGGAAAAAAACTGAATTCAGTTGAGGATTAAAAGTCGAGAACGGAACAACGAATCGTCTTCTTTCTCTAATGATTTTCATGAAACGTAATAGCTTCCGCGCTTCGCGCGGGAGGAAGGGGGGGGGGGGGGAGGGAGGGAAAAAACTGAATTCAGTTGAGGATTAAGAGTCGAGAACGGAACAACGAATCGTCTTCTTTCTCAAATGATTTCATGAAACGTAAAAGCTTCCGCGCTCCGCGCGGGAGGAGGGGGGGGGGGGGGGAAGAAAAACTGAATTCAGACGAGGATTAAGAGTCGAGAACGGTACAACGAATCGTCTTCTCTCTAATGATTTAATGAAACGTAATAGCTTCCGCGCTTCGCGCGGGAGGAAGGGGGGGGGGGGAGGGAGGGAAAAAACTGAATTCAGTTGAGGATTAAAAGTCGAGAACGGTACAACGAATCGTCTTCTTTCTCTAATGATTTAATGAAACGTAAAAGCTTCCGCGCTTCGCTCGGGAGGGGAGGGGGAACTGAATTCAGACGAGGATTAAGAGTCGAGAACGGAACAACGAATCGTCTTCTTTCTCAAATGATTTCATGAAACGTAAAAGCTTCCGCGCTCCGCGCGGGAGGAGGGGGGGGGGGAAGGGAAAAACTGAATTCAGACGAGGATTAAGAGTCGAGAACGGAACAACGAATCGTCTTCTTTCTCTAATGATTTTCATGAAACGTAAGAGCTTCCGCACTTCGCACGGGAGGGGGGGGGGGGGGACTGAATTCAGACGAGGATTATTTTCGAGAACGGTACAACGAATCGTCTTCTTTCTCTAATATTGTTTGTTGTTTGTTCGTTTGTGTGTGTGCGTGTGTGTGTGCGTTGTGGTGTGTGTGTGTGTGTGTGTTTGTGCGTGCGCGATCGCGCGCGCTTGATCATGCCCCCCCCCCACCCCCACTCCTCTGTACGGATTTACGCCCCTGCTATATAGCAAATGATGAAATATAGAAAATCAGGGCTTAAATTAATCCAAGGCCACCAACGCCATGGACTTGGATGCCCCTTTGATTGGCCTCAATGCCCCTCTCATTGGCCTTGGATATTTGTTGTGCCCTTTCCAATTCTTCCTATTTGTGCTGTAATATAGGAATGTGCCCAACAGAAAAGTGGCCTTGGCCCTTGCCCTAAAAATATTGAAATTTAAGGCCGGGAAAATGTATGTTTTAAAATGATTCAAACAGTTATTATTAGGTCACAAATTTGCGACGTACATTACATCCTTGTCAATTGGTTAATAATAATAAAAACAAAACTTAAGACAGCGTCCGACACGGATTGTCACAGCTAATTTTGTTTGTCCGTCCTTGAAACGTGGTTACTTGGGAAGGGGGAAATCGTCCCTGAGGGGGGGGGGGGGTAGTCAAAACGTATTCTTTCACATGATTGGTAACGAACGGTACAACGAATCGTCTTCTTTCTCTAATATTGTTTGTTGTTTGTTCGTTTGTGTGTGTGCGTGTGTGTGTGCGTTGTGGTGTGTGTGTGTGTGTGTGTGTTGTGCGTGCGCGATCGCGCGCGCTTGATCATGCCCCCCCCCACCCCCACTCCTCTGTACGGATTTACGCCCCTGCTATATAGCAAATGATGAAATATAGAAAATCAGGGCTTAAATTAATCCAAGGCCACCAACGCCATGGACTTGGATGCCCTTTGATTGGCCTCAATGCCCCTCTCATTGGCCTTGGATATTTGTTGTGCCCTTTCCAATTCTTCCTATTTGTGCTGTAATATAGGAATGTGCCCAACAGAAAAGTGGCCTTGCCCTTGCCCTAAAAATATTGAAATTTAAGGCCGGGAAAATGTATGTTTTAAAATGATTCAAACAGTTATTAATAGGTCACAAATTTGCGACGTACATTACATCCTTGTCAATTGGTTAATAATAATAAAAACAAAACTTAAGACAGCGTCCGACACGGATTGTCACAGCTAATTTTGTTTGTCCGTCCTTGAAACGTGGTTACTTGGGAAGGGGGAAATCGTCCCTGAGGGGGGGGGGGGGTAGTCAAAACGTATTCTTTCACATGATTGGTAACGAACGGTACAACGAATCGTCTTCTTTCTCTAATATTGTTTGTTGTTTGTTCGTTTGTGTGTGTGCGTGTGTGTGTGCGTTGTGGTGTGTGTGTGTGTGTGTGTGTTTGTGCGTGCGCGATCGCGCGCGCTTGATCATGCCCCCCCCCACCCCCACTCCTCTGTACGGATTTACGCCCCTGCTATATAGCAAATGATGAAATATAGAAAATCAGGGCTTAAATTAATCCAAGGCCACCAACGCCATGGACTTGGATGCCCCTTTGATTGGCCTCAATGCCCCTCTCATTGGCCTTGGATATTGTTGTGCCCTTTCCAATTCTTCCTATTTGTGCTGTAATATAGGAATGTGCCCAACAGAAAAGTGGCCTTGGCCCTTGCCCTAAAAATATTGAAATTTAAGGCCGGGAAAATGTATGTTTTAAAATGATTCAAACAGTTATTATTAGGTCACAAATTTGCGACGTACATTACATCCTTGTCAATTGGTTAATAATAATAAAAACAAAACTTAAGACAGCGTCCGACACGGATTGTCACAGCTAATTTTGTTTGTCCGTCCTTGAAACGTGGTTACTTGGGAAGGGGGAAATCGTCCCTGAGGGGGGGGGGGGGTAGTCAAAACGTATTCTTTCACATGATTGGTAACAAGGGTTTCCATTTTATTTTTTGAGAGGGGGTGTTTAGTCGAAACAAATTCTTTCACATGATTGGTAATAAGAGCTTCATTTTTTTGACAGGGGGTGTTTAGTCAAAACATATTCTTTCACATGATTTGTAAGAGCGTCCTGATTTCATTTTTTGAGAGGGTGTGTTTCCAAAACTGGTCTTTACCTTTAAGTTTTTTTTGCCGGGATGATGTGCAGGATGTACATCCTGTTTCAAAAGGAAATGTTGTGTCAAAGTAGTTTATTTTATCCCATATTATGTGGCGTAAAGAAATATAAATTGAATTGTATGTAAAGTTGAAGTTGTGTGGTTGTATGTATAAATCAATGGTTTAGGTGAGGCATTACTATATGATCTGATTGACTTGATGACTGAACAAAAGATTGGGGAATGCTTTTGAGATAATATTTGTATTCGTTTGTGTTTTGATATAAATTAACCTATGTAAAAATAACGGAAATGTACCTTTTGACTAA